GAAAGAGGCAATGGGTGATGAGATTAGTCCCCACGGAAGGAGACTCCTGCTTGGAATATCAACACATCTTTTCAGTCTCTCTCATTGTGACTGTTTATGCTTTTATCAAATCTTCAGTTTGCTTCTTAAGCTACGGGACCAGATGGCTCCCACGCATAATGCACTGAATCATGGCAAGGCTTGAGGTATTTGTTATGTATAGCAGCAAACACACGCGCTGGACCAGGTTAAACTCTTTCACAGTCAGCATATGGTGCATGCTGCATATGGATGGTACTACAGCAGGTATCTATATATACATACACTCCGAAGACTGGAGTATCTTTTCTCCTTGCAGGTTGTCAGGAAAATGACTGTCATACCTTCAACACAAATAGCAAGAAATGGAGGCAGCACAGTAACACATGGCACAGGACAGATGCTAGGCACGTCCCGTGAAGCACAGTGCCTGATGGCAAGGAATCCTGACGGGCCAAGGACAGGAGGCTCCTGTTCCCCCTCCGATTTCCCCTTGCAGCTTGTGATTAAGCTGGTGCTGACACCTTGCCCGGTGCCTATTTGCACGGCTGATAGCTGCAGGCAGTACTTCTGCCATGAAGCCCCTACGGAAAAGGAGATAAACTCATTGTTTGAGAGCATCTTTGCCTCTGGCGTTTTTAAAGTGGAAAACAAACATAATTTTCTCCTCACTTAGATTTGGGGTAAATTCAAGATGTGGCACCCCTGTGAAACTAGAGTGAGTGAGAGGGGAGTTTGCAAATGCCACACTCACTGCTCGGCGGAGGGTAAGGCTGTTGGGTTTATACAGAACGTGATTTGTGCTTCAGTGACAAGACCATTAAAGTCACCCTGTAGTCATCCCTCACTGATGTATTGCAAATAGCCATTTCTGAGTGCTGAAAGATGCTGAAATAGTGAAAGATGTTGTTTAGATATCTGGGAGATGACCATTTCAGAGAAGTTTAGACTGCCACTCTGGGACTTGGGGCAAGTAACAGATCCCAAGGCGTCTGAGGAATGTCCCAAATAGCACAGCTTGATACTGTGTGTGTGCTCTGCGCTGCGCAGTGAAGGAGCAGCCAAGCAGGCGGCCACTTTCCAATGACCACACTCCATCCCAAGTATTTTCTGGGATGAGAAAATTATCCTTTGGCTAGTTTTCAGCCTGCTTTTCTTAGTATGTATTCGATATGCCCTCTGTGTTTGGAGTGACAGGGCACCTCGGCGGCGGGTGCCGTGCTGGCCTTTGCAGGCAGGCGTGAGCGCTGGCAGGCAGCCGGACGCCCATCAGGGACTGGAACAGTGTCCAGGAATGTCGAAATTGCAGTCTGTGCAGAGCGGCTCTGGTGAAGGTTAATGCATGTTGCCACCACCTTTGAGGTCAGCATTGGGCTCACTTTAGCAGCCCTATTAATAGATGCCCAAGGTTGACTGAGAAGAGGATTTGGCTTTGATGGATCTTGTTTAGCATTCCCAAGAGAGGAAGGCAGATTCTTTTCTTTTTTCTCTTCCAGCCTCTAACCTTGAGTTGGTCTCTGCGGGAAACATTAGTGGCATTTGCCAAAAGAGCTGCTACTGTGAGCCAGATGTCCCGCTGCGTCGTACAAACCATACGTGCATGTTTCTTCAACCTGCAAACCCAGACCTAATTCCACTAAAGACTCAAACCAATTCCTCGCTGGCAAAACTAGGGAAAAAAAAGCACAAACCTTGAGCCTAATTGCTTGAAAACAGTAGGACACCTAGTGGATTTATAGAGAATATCTTTGGGATTATGAGCAACATTTTGTCATTTTCTTGGCAAAACCAACTAAGAACGTATTTATAGAGGAATCATTGAAATATCAGGGTTTCTATTTAATAAATTAAGCTTGTTATAGCTGTTACAGCCTCCGGTTTGCCTGAAGAAGTTATTGCACCCTATAAAAAAACAATGATTATTGTTTGAATGACTTGAAAAAAAATAATTATGGGGAACTGGATGGTTCCCAAGGTCTGGGAGCAGGAGGAAGGATATTCTGCCAGATCAAAGCCATCCCAGTTGTTCCATCTGACAGCTCTCTAATGATCTTAATGAGTAAAGTTTTATAGTCTCAGCCTGGCTTCCCGGATAATTGTACAGCTTCACAACAAGCATCGCCATGCTGAGCACAGCCAGCAAGCTCTGTTGGTTGTTTCAGCAGTGAATGAATTGGCCACAGAAATAAAATTGCCTTCTTAATTCCCCAGGGCTGATCTTTTGAATCCAAATTAGAAGATGATGGGACATGTGATAATGCTTGCACTGCTGCCATTGACATTGTATTTGTCTGGTAGTGACACCAACATCAAGCAGATTTTGACCCTAGATAGGAAATAAAACCCTGTGGCAGGGTGTAGTAAGAGGAAGAAGATTTTAAGCCATGCTTCAGAAATTATATCTTGGCCAGCAATTATCCTGGAGCTGCCAGTATTATCTTGCTAATATGTCTCTGGAGGCACAGACAAGAGATGTGTGCTGAGTCCAAAATGGATGCAGGAAACTGATGACTTCATTTTGACAGTCATCACAAGAAACACCAAGTCATCGAGTCGGTTGCATTCGATTCCTGTTCCCAAAGCATACTGAAAACTTTCCTTCCTTTCTGCTTACCATAATATTGCCCTAGTGAAAAAATGTCTCCAGAAGATGGTTAATTTTTCTAGAGCTGCTCCATTCCCACTCTTTCTTCAGTGCGGCAGAGATCCCTAGAGAACAGCAAAACCAGATCCAGGTCCTTTTGTATTCCATCTCCAGTGTTAGGAAAGAAAAGGCCGATGTAGAAAATTATTTTGATTGAGTCCGTTTCTTCTCATATGTTCTTTTCTTCTTAGAGCTGTAGAGCTGGAAAAAGAATATAGCGGATGCTGGAATTCAAATGAGCTATCAAGAAAATTCCTACCGACTCCATGCATTTTCATTACTCCTACCTCTGTCATGGAATTACCTGAAAAACAGAACTCCTTTTACATCGTAGACCCTTTAAGTTGGTCCAGGGTTTTCAAAAGAGAGTTGTGTTGTTTTTTTTTTTTATTTCAGTGGCAGTATTTTATACTTGTTTTTTTTTCTGACTGACATGTCAAGCTGGGGATAGTGAGTGCTAAGAGTATGCTTTTCTCTAATTTAGCAGCTGGATTGGAAAGCTTGAAATATCTCTGCATAATTGCAATGATTCATGGATTGTTAGAAAATTGCAAAGTATTGATTGGATTTCCCCCTCAGGAAATATTTCTCCTCTGATAAAACAGAGTAGGTTCTGGGGCTTCGCTTTTGTCCTTCCTGCCTTCTGCCCCGGGGAAGCCAGTGGCTCCTTTCATCTGGGAAACGGGAATTTGGGTCAACAGCCATTCAAGGACAATTTTGAATTATTGCGATTTCCAAGTTCAAATCTTTCCTTGAGCTTTGCCAAGCGATGGGGCTTTGCAAAGTGCAAACAGGGATTTCAGAGCCAGAAAAGCTGGGACCAGCAGCAAATACTGGCCATCCCTGTTTCACAATCTTCTGTTTCCACTTCAAATACCACTGGTGTGTTCTGCAAAGAGACCTTGACCTTGTTGTGGGAACGCTACGACCATCAAAGACGGTGGCAAATTTTCCCCTTTATTAGGCCAGGATTTCTCTCAGGGTCTCAGGAGTCGGTGGCAGGAGGGAAGTGGGAGAATGAAGTGAGAATCAGGCATGGGGAGAGCCTGATGCCCAGCGCCTGGGGCTGAGCAGCTCGGAGCTGAGAGCCCTGACACACATCTGCACGTTAATGGTGCTGCCGAGACAAAAGCTGGGGTCTTTTGGGCAGCTGCTGTATGAATTTCCAGCACAGAACCATAAATACGCAGTTATGAGTGTGACCTCTGCTTCTTTTCTTCACTAAATTGAACATCCAAGGGCCAGCTGAGTATCATTCCTTGTCTCTGCTCCAGTTGCTTGGAACGTGCTGCCTCCGCAAATGGCTGTGCCTAAGTACAAACCAAAGAATTATGAGAGAGTGCTAATTCAGGGTTTGCAATGAATTTAGTGTTCCCGCAAGGATGACACTAATGGCAATTAATGCAGCAGAAATGCCAGTGCTGAATGACTGTTTTCACATTAAAAGCTGTCAGTCGAAGAGCACACAGTCCTCTGTTATTTCAGGCCTGACCTCTGCTTTTTGGCCATGTTTCATGTGCACAGGAGGTGTCCCAGGCCATCCCGTAACTACAGCTCTGGGAGGGGACACAAAGAGAGAGCAGAGCAGCCAAAGCCTCTCTGCGCCGACAGCGACATTTCCTGAGGGTTTGTGTATTCTCACCTGGGGCGTGCCTGAACAGGAACAAAATTAACCCAGGACTGAAAAGAATATAAGACTTCAACTTCTGGAGCTCCTTGCTGGTCCAGTGCTATCCTCGTGCCCTGCTGGCAGTTGACTCCTGTTTAGATGCAAAGTTCTTTCTGCTGTTTCAGTTTTGCCTCTCTTCATCATGCAGAACCTGATTATAAATGATCAAATGTTTTTAAATGGGCTTGGCTAGAAATAACCCCTGTTGCTGCTCAAATACATGGCAATCCGCAGAAATTTTGGTGTTACAGTGCACGATTGGTAAAAATGCCTCTGCTTCATAATGTTTTAAGTTCAACAAGTGATAGCGGTACAGCAATGTAGTGACTGTGATTTTTAGCTCAGCCAGAAAAGGCTCACTTGTCCTCACTTTCTTTCCTCAAGTCTTGCGTAGGGCGAAGCAGTTCCAAATGAGGAACATCTGCAATTTGGTGCAAGAGGAAGTAACACTTACGCATATGAAAATTGTAAATAAAGGGTGTTTCCAGGCTCACAAACAAAATCCAAAACACAAAAAGGAGAACAGCTCTTACAGGAGGATAACTAAAAATACTTCATCTGTGTTATTTTTATTTTTTTAGAACTAGTAGCGTTTCTGGAGGATGAAACAAGGCCTGAGAAATGTCAGGTGAAAATTAGTAGCTTTTTAACAACAAAGTTCATTGGAGAATGGCAAATAGGATGTTGGAAGGAAACTTTATCTATAGAGTTATAAATATACCCCAGCCTCTACACATACAAATATCGATTATCAGTTTTAACGCACTACTCAGTGCAGTAGGATAACTTCTGAGAAGGGTTGCAGGAGCAGGATGAGCATTTTCAGTCTCAAGATTTTGGGTGTTCTGGAGATAAAAAGGATGAATCCAAAGATGACGCAGACTCCTACAGACTTTGCTGCTACACCACCAGAGCGCTTTCTGCTCCTACGAGGTCTGGCCTTGCAATGCCCTTACGGAACTGGCACATGCAATTATTCCCATGAGACACGGTAACGGTGTCCTGGGTATGCAACGCCCTGAATGCTCAGCGGGTTTTGTACACCTGCGAGAAGCTGGAGGTGCTCGGTCTGCCAGGGCACGCTGGAGGCTGGCAGCAGGACGCGGGGTGAGCCCAGACCCCGATGCTCTGACCCCCGCCATGTGCTCCCGGAGAGCCTCTGGCGGCAGCGCCGTACTCCTGTGGTGTGACACATCCTGGTCACACGTTGCGTGTCTTTGTTATTGGTGCTTTGTCTTCTCTGCTCAGAAGCTCTGAGGCAGTGTGAACTATTTATTTGTAAATGCAGAGGATCACGTTATGGTTCGTTATCGTTCCAGCAGATGGTAACTGATGCACAGCGCCACTGCCGATGCCTGGGGGTCACTGGCCATGCGCAGGAATGATGGCACAGCCGCTGACTGCAGAGATGGCAAACACACTGCTGCTGCTAATGGCAAGCTGGTGGGGAAAGAGCAGTTTTAAGGGCTTTGGTTTAACCATCTGGACACTAGCACTATTTTTATCCTTATCTGTTGAGGTCTCAGGCCTGTGCCAAGGGAAGCCGATGACAAATCTGGTGTCTCCCACGGCACAGGGGCAGACGAGTGGGACCGGCTTTTGGGAAGGAAGAAGTGGGGTGGGTGGTGGCGTGGCAGTGGGGAAGGGGCTCACACTTGCAGCCACTTTGTGCCTTGTGAGCTGAGCGAGCTCGTTGGCATCTCCCACACCTCCACCAAGAGCTCCATCAGCTTCACACACTGCAACTTGGCCCGGTGGGCAGGACAGATCTCTGAGACATGGTGGGCACTCCACCAACCCACTCCAAACTCCACCGCAGCTGTGGGCAGCACTGGGGTGAAAGCCATCGCCTGCCCATGTAGGTGGGAGGAGGGCACCCACACCGTGGCTGGGGATAGGGCTGGTGGGTGCCAGCCAAGAGTAGTGAGGTGTGGCTGGAACACCTCTGCGTGTGAAGGACCCGAGGGAGGCAGAGGGGGAGCGAGGAGCGTGTCTGGCCGTCATTTGGGCAGAGACGGTCGAAAAAAAATACGGGGGTGGGTGGAAAAAAAGGCCAGGTTCCACCGAGATTTGAACTCGGATCGCTGGATTCAGAGTCCAGAGTGCTAACCATTACACCATGGAACCTCTGAAAATGACCCCCTGAACTGCTCCTATTGACATCTTATAGGAAAACAAAATATTCTTTTCACAAATTTGTAAATACAGTCTTTGGCTTGTTTCTCTTCCATGTATTCTGCATGTATTAATTCTATGTAAGAATTCCATTGTTCCTTTATCACGACATTTTACAGCACTGAAAATAATGCACATTTAGAAGCACCTTAGCATTAATCGAGACCGTTAAGACATTTCTCAGATCATGTGACTTAAAGCTTGAATATAGACTTTCAATACCATGTGCACTGACTTTTATTTCACATTTGTATACTCGTTTTGCTTTCATGGATTTTGGATGGAATATTTGCTTGCTATATTTGAGAAGAAGCAGGGACCATTGTCACAACTATTGTTTTAGTTTGCCAGGTTGTTTCCTTTCTTGGTATTACTTGACCAGTGTATAGGTAACAGAACATTTCATTTAAACTGGTGAGACATGGAAAAACTACAAATGTATGCAGGGAGCTTTTTATGTGTAATTAAAGATGTGGACCTCTTGGAGTGGGTCCGGCGGGCCCGTCTTGCCGCTGCCCTAGCGCGGCGGGGACGGGGGAGGCCTCCGACCGGCCCCGTGTGGGCCTTGCTGGGGCTTCCGCGGGCACGGCCGAGTCCTGCTCGGGTGTTTTTGGAGCTCGATGGCCGAGGGTGTGCTGGGCCTCGCTGCCTGCCCCGGAACGCTCACTCCAAAATGTCAGATTTGGGTTTGTTTCCGTAGCAGTGATCTGGCGTGTTTGTATCTCCGGACAAGACACCTTGGGCAGGTTCCTGCTCCGTGAGCAGGCTGAGGCGACAGCCGCCTGCTGGGATGGCGAGCAGAGACCATCAGTGAGGATGCCCAGGGCTGATAAAATACTACTTCCCTTTCTAGCTGTTAAGTAGGACTGTAAAGTCAATGACTTAGGTGCTCAGCATTGGTAGATGATGCAGCTAATTTGATGAAGTAGTAGTATTTGCTGCCTTTCCTATGCTGAGCCCTTCAAGAGGGGTGACTGTAACTGCTGTTTCACACCCAGTGGTCTCACGCGTCCTGGCCTGGCACCTCCTGCAGCACCCAGCAGAGAAGGGCAGGAATACCTTGTTTTCCAGGACCAATGCACCTCGGGTCTGCCATACAGTAGCAAGTTGGGTTGAAACGTTGCAGTTGTAGTTAACTACTTGGTTTTCACTCCCTGGCAGAGTAAAATACCTGCCTGCTGTGAAGGTTCATAAAGCATGCTGTGAAACAGCTACAGAAATGCTGATGTTTTGAAGCTGACTATCCAATTTTTTAAATCCTACTGCAAAAACGAGCAAAGTATTGTAAGAAGTAATTGTCTATTGCAATATAGTATTGTAAATTTGAATTTAGGATTTAGAGTATCATTTGTTACATTGTAATAGTGAGAGACCCAGTGCTTATCATCATGAAACTTAGGTAAAGGAAAAAATCAGCAATTTTTTTCCTACCCTTAAGCTCCTGTAATAACTTTGAGGAATTTCATTTTTTTTTGTTGCCAGTTTTCTCCAATTGCTATGTGGATAGTGGCGTTATTTCTGACTATAAGTCAGTCATCTGTGCTGCTGTTAAAATCAAATCCAGAAGTACCAAGTTGGGCCTCTTTTCTCAGCTTGCAGCATTGGCAAGGGCCTTGCTGACCACTAGTTTAATTGTATCAAGCAGTCTTACTGTAGGTACTTACACGTACAAGTTATCAAAACCATTGCATTACCTTTACTTGTTCACACTATTCTGTCAGTATGCTTATAATTAATGTTTTAGCTGTGAAGGCCTGGGAATATCAGTGACGCAGAGTTTGTTGGGAGAGGTCCTATCTTTTATTAGACCTGCTTCCTTATGTAACTGGGAAATAATTCAGCCAGGATTCAGTTCTATAGAAAAGTTCAAAGCTAGTTTAATTGATTGCCCTTCCTAAAGCTTTTTCTGTTTAGACTAGTTTGTAGAAGCTGTTGGGAGGCAGGGAACGCTATGAAAATGGTGTTGTGAAGATGAGAGATTGAAGTTTTGCAAAGGTAAAGTACACTGCAGGAAGTTGACACGATGTCACATACCTGGGATTAATGTGGCATCTGAGGTAACAGAACAAATGCAGAGTAATGGAAATTGTGGAAACTTGTAACTTCCAAAGGTGATGGTGGTTCTAAACAAGCTGTCACTGCTCTGGAATGCTCTTGAAATTATTGCAAGTAGGTCTCTGAAATGAGCGTCTCCTCACCAGGCACTGGTCGAAAAGACAAGAAGTGGGTAAACACTCTTAGAAAAGGAAATGAGAACTCAGGGGGAACATTAAGCTGATGTTTGACTCTGAGACATGAGCATCTTGGGGACTGAGGGGAAATGTAGGCAGGACAGGCATACCTGTTTTGAAAGGCATATTGTAGAATTAAAAAGATGGAGAAGGGCATCAAAATAATCAGAAGAGAGACCTAATGGATTCATATCTCTTATACCGACCTGATGTACAACTTTATCAAAATTAAAACAGTGAGTGGTTGTGGCAAATAGGGAAAGTATCTACGGTCTGTTGCAATTTCTGTGGATATCTGTAATGCTTCTTTTATTGAGCAGTAGGTGAAAACAGAAGGACATAAAGTCCCACAGATGTATATGTAAATTTTGGAGTGGTGCATTACCATAAATACTACAAATGGGTTTGAAAGACTGCACACATTTATGGAAGAAGAAGAATGTCTGTTGAGGTGTTTCAGTGTGATGGTTGCAATGGCAAGTCCGAAGGTACTGCTTATTTGAAGATGTAAGGGCTTGTTAGGACAGATTAGCCTGTTTGCTCTGTTACGCATAATGATTCTCAGACCTCAGTTTTTGACAGTCGGACTGGGTGTTGGTCTATCAGGACACTTAATCCAGTAGGACAATTCTGGGTTTATGAACTGGAAGGGACGTGGTAGGTTGGTGGGACTGAGTTCAGAGTTTGACTTTGTTTACAATCATTGGGTGATATTCTCTAGTCTAGCCGTCTTCTACTACTCTTGAGTTAAACTGCCACGCATCTGTTTATGTGAGACCTCTGGTTTTGTCCTGTCAGCCACTGACAGCAGCTGTATGTCAAAACTGGGCTGATAGCTGGTGGGTGTAAGCTGAGCCCACCTATGCTGCTCCAGGATAAAATCACAGTACCTGTTACAAAATACCCAACGCCTGATTCTGTTGCAACACTTCAGCATATGCTAAAGCCTAAGCCTACCTTCTAAAGAGACTATGTCTGGTTAATTCTTCTTGTCCAGCTACACGTCCTTGTATTCTTCAATACTTTTGGGGTTTAGCTGTGATCAGTGCCTACTGTTCCCAGAGCTGCACTTGAGGAAATGCAAGACCTAGAAAGTCCAGTTTGTAGAAATCTTGCTCTAATTTTAATGGGAGGAAAAAAAATAGTGATATAAGGATATTTCTTTATTACTTAATAAATTAACCCTGGCTTAAATGCAGGAACTTTTTACTTTTTTCTGATTAAAGTAATGTACTTGCAGTAGATAAGTTGTTACCCAAGTAATCCTCACTTGTAGAAGATGTCTTCTGTGTTTTCTGTGGACAAAGCTTGGGAGGATTATGTCTGCACCTTGACCATCTGGAACTCTGGATTTGGATTCAGACTTCTCATTTCTGAACGTGGACCGGACTTGCAGTGGCATTCAGCTTATCATTAGGAAATATTCCAGTTTCAGTTATCTGCTTGCTACTTTGCATCATGTTCACTTCTCCAACTTTTCCCTTTGAAATTGAGGAAATGCTCTGAAACTGAACAAACTTGTTGGTTTAGGTTTTAGAAAACTTGTT